GTTGTCCTCCTACGTGGAAACCTTTGCGGCCCATCCTCTGTAGCCACGCCAGTCACACGGTTGCCCCTGAGAGGCAGCTCTATCCCTTCGCCAAGATCTCTGGCAGACATGGCTCAAGGAGCTGGGTGCGTGTTGGGTGTCAGCATGATAGGATAGCAGTTTTGTAACTCAGCAGAGTACAGTATAAACGAGGAGTGTGCAATCTAGCAATAGAACAGTAGAGTCTAGCACGGCAAGGGTAGAGTTTCGTCTTGATACGGCCTGGCTTTAAGAGTTTGGGGTGCGAGGCAGCAAACGTGGGTAACACAAGGGGGTCTGCAGCTGCGATAGCACCGGTGGGCCCCAAAAGGGTTTGGAGTTTTAGGGGCTTTTGGTTTCGGAAGTGCACCGTGGCTGCAGGGCACCTCGTAGGACCTGTTGTATTTAGCCACAACGAAAACCCTGCAGATGTACACTTCACGAGGCGAGGCCGCCCCAGACTCCTGCAGATGTGGGAGTTTAGGGTTTAGGGTTTAGGGTGTAGGGTTTAGGGTGTAGGGTTTTGCATTGCTGTAGTCTTGAATTATATAAGCTTGCTAACACGGAAACATCCCTGCATTTCCTGCACCTTGCAAAGGTGGACTGACCCCCCCCCCGCCCCACTTACACAAACTTCTGCAATCTCTACGAACTCGTTGATGTATAGTCTTGCTGGACAAGCGTTTTTGGATGTCATCAAAGTAGTCTTCATTGTTCGTATAGTGAGGACTTTCATGAAACCCGATTAGGCGGTTCAAGATGATTTCACATGTCATACTGAGGTAGTTAACAGCATGTTGAAGAAGATCTTAAACACTACCGAAACAGAAGAACTTGTGATGATAAATGGTTAGAGTATGGTTTTATGAAGTGCTACACCAAGCCCTAAACCCTAACTAGTGGCCGTTGGCCGTGTCTTTCCAGGGTGGAAAAGATCGAGGCAGGTCCACAAGGAGGAGGGGGAAGGAGGCGACGTTACATGTCTATGGTAGGAATACAAATTCACATAAGCACACAGATATACCGTTATACCTAGATATTGTGCATGTGTATATGTGCATATATATATATATGTATACATATGTATTGCTAGACTCGTTTTGTTATACAATCAAGGGTTTATTCTTTATGTATCGTATAGTGTTTCTCTATTGGTATCTTGTATTGACATTCTTATCTACCCCTACATGAAGCCCCCAAGCCCCCAATCCTCGCGGACGTCGCACTCTCTATAAACCCTATAATACCCTGTAAACCCCACAAACCCCATTAACCCAATAGCAATTTTCAACCCCTACAAACCCCGTAAACCCCATAAACCCCATAAGGCCTACAAACCCTGGAAACCCGATAAATACCACAAAGCCTAGAAAGCCTTAAAGCCCATAAAGCCTAGAAAGCCTATAAAGCCTATGAAGCCTATAAAGCCTGTAAAGCCTATAAAGCCTATAAAGCCCATGAAGCCTATAAAGCCTATAAAGCCCATGAAGCCTATAAAGCCTATAAAGCCCATGAAGCCTATAAAGCCTATAAAGCCTATAAAGCCCATAAAGCCCATAAAGCCCATAAAGCCTATAAGGCCTATGAAGCCTATCGGCCCTGGACCTTAAGCCATAAGACCCGACCGGCCCGAGCCTCCTTCTTTCTCCTAAACCCTAAACCCTAAACCCTAAACCCTAAACCCTAAACCCTAAAACCCTAAACCCTAAACCCTAAACCCCCCTGAACCCCCCTAAACCCTAAACCCTGAACCCTAAACCCCAGGCCCGAAACCCTGAACCTTATGCCCGAAGAGCCTCCTTCTTTCTTCCCAAGATATCGGCGTAGCGGAAGCAGATGGCCGAGGAGATCGTAGCCTCAATTGCGCCCAAGGGTGCGGGGCCTTGAGGGTTTAGGGTTTAGGGTTTTTGGGTTTAGGGTTTAGGGTTTAGGGTTTAGGGTTTAGGGTTGAGGGTTTAGGGGTTTAGGGTTTAGGGTTTAGGGTTTAGGGTTTAGGGTTTAGGGTTTAGGGTTTAGGGTTTAGGGTTTAGGGTTTAGGGTTTAGGGTTTGGGGCCTAAGCCCTCTGCCCTCGATCCCTGCAACCCTCTAACCCTCTAACCCGCCCCGTCTAAACCCTCCAACCCTCGAGAATTTCAAGCCTCCCTCTGAACCCCAAGACTCCGCTACATCCTAAACCCCAAACCCTAAACCCCAAACCCTAAGCCCTAAAACCCTAAACCCCAAGCCCTACACCCCAAACCCTAAGCCCTAAAATCCCCAGTTACTTACCCCTAGACCCTAGACCCTAAACCCTAAACCCTAAACCTTCCAGGTGCAAACTGGCAGCGCCAATCAGGTTCAGGGAGCTGAGAATGCCCTGGTCCCACGCCTTCACAGTGTTTAGGGTTTAGGGTTTAGGGTTTAGGGTTTAGGGTTTAGGGTTTAGGGTTTAGTAAGGGTTTAGGGTTTAGGGTTTAGGGTTTAGGGTTTAGGGTTTAGGGTTTAGGGTTTAGGGTTTAGGGTTTTGGGTTTAGGGTTTAGGGTTTAGGGTTTAGGGTTTAGGGTTTAGGGTTTAGGGTTTAGGGTTTAGGGTCCGCCGACCCTGGCGGCGTGTTGGATGGGAAAAGGAGGTGAAACCTCCCTCTTTCCCCACCCCCCGCCCCCCCCCCCCCCCAACACCACCCCCCCCCCCCCCACCCCCCCCCCCCCCCCCCCCCCCACCCCCCACCGCCCCCCACCCACCTGCTTGAGCAAACGTTTCAGAGTGGCTGGACCTCTCAACTATGCTCCACTCTCTCTCAACTATGCTCCAGCGGGGTCGGCGGCTTGAGCCGGAGGCTCTTAAATTTCCTAAGCCCTGCACCCTCAACCTTAAACCGCAAACTTCTCAACTTCAGAAGCCCTCTAGACCCAGGAGTAACCCTGGAATTGAAAGGTGGTGTGCCGTTTTTGGTTTGAAGGGGCTCATCAGGGAACCCAAACCCTATACAAAAGCAAACAAGGGCCTACTCTGGGTCCTAGCTTTGCTAGGGTCCTCTGGAGTCTGTGGATTCGGGCTTTGGAAGACCCCAAAAGCCATTTTTTCCTACGCTAGATGAGATGGTTTAGGCTTGAGGTTTTTGGGGGTTTTGGGCATTTAGGCTTCTAGGCTTCAGCACGCCAGGACACGTTGAGGTGGTAGCACTGGCCTCGGCACATGCGCTTCGAGGGTGCTTCTACTTCTTGCACGGTGTAGGATTCTAGGGCTTTAGGGTTTTAGGTATTTAGGGCTTAGGATTTATACAGTAAGGCAACACATAGATGACTGGGGCACCCGAACTTCATTCCCGAAAACGGTCCGAGTTTTAGGTTTGGGTTCAGGGCTCAGGGTCTCGGGTTGGGGTTTAGGGTTGTAGACTTTAGGCATTGGAGGGGTTTAGGGGGTGACAGGAAGGTCTCTGGGAGTACCCTCAGTTTTGGGGTGTAGGCTTGTGAGGGGTTTAGGGGTTTAGGGTTCAGGGTTTAGGGATCGGGTTGAGGGGTCTACGGTTTGAAGTTTAGGACTTGGCAGTTGAGGGTTTGGCGTTCTTGGGGGGTGTCGCGCGCCTGAAGTGTAGGCAGAGGCGTTTGGGGCCAAAGGAGTTCCAAGGACCTCCCGCTTCAATTCCTGGCTCGCCCCAGTAGCCACACATTAGTATACGCGTTTATCTCTTTTTGGGGTTGGGTACTGCGGGTACCTCTTTTGGGGGTTGATTACTCTATCCGGGAGCCTCGAACCCAAAAAGGGCAAAAGGCTTGCTGGTTTCTTAGTATGGCGAGAGGGAATGAGTACCCTATTATCTAATCCCTTGAAAGTAATATCTAAAGCCCCCCTTCCCTCATTCCCAGAACCAGGGGGATCACTGGGAATCCTAAACCCTAAACCCTAAACCCTAAACCCTCATTCCCTACTAAGAACCAGTGGTGTCACTGGGAAGATTCTGAAAGCAAACCAGGGATTGTGTCTCGTGCTTTGTTTGGAGCTTTGTTTGGGCTTAGGGCTTATAGGACTTAGGATTTAGGGTTTAGGGTTTGGGGTTCAGGGTTCAGGGTTTAGGGTTCAGGGTTTCGGGTGTAGGGCTTAGGGTTTAGTTAGGGGGTTAGGGGGTTTAGGGGGCTAGCGGCTTAGGGGGTTTAGGGGGGTTTAGGGTTTAGGGTTTAGGGTTTAGGGTTTAGGGTTTAGGGTTTAGGGTTTAGGGTTTAGGGTTTAGGGTTTAGGGTTTAGGGTTTAGGGTTTAGGGTTAGGTTTAGGGTTTAGGGTTTAGGGTTTAGGGTTTAGGGTTTAGGGTTTAGGGTTTAGGGTTTAGGGTTTAGGGTTTAGGGTTTAGGGTTTAGGGTTTAGGGTTTAGGGTTTAGGTTTAGGGTTTAGGGTTTAGGGTTTAGGGCGGGTATCGGTGTGTGGGTTCTGGTGTGCGGCCAAGTTCGACTCTCCCTCCCGTCAATGTCTTTCGTCAGGTCCCATGGCTTTGTTGCTTGTTCAGCATAGGGTTTAGGGTTAGGGTTTGGGGCTTCGGGTTTAGGGTTGAGTTTTCGGGTATATGGCTTAGGGTTTAGGGCTTAGGGTTGTTGATTAAAGGTTTTGGGTTTAGGGTTTAGGGTATTTGTTCTGTGTCGTTTTGGAGCGACTTCGCTTCGGCAGCCTAATTCGGGATGGGCCTTCCGACGTACACCCTAAAGCCCCTGAAGCCGCGCAACCCGTAGAGCTCTGAGGGTAGGCCTCCTTTGTGGGTTCTGACGTATGGGACCCTTAATTTGTATGGGGTGTATAAGGGGTCTATAAGGGGTACCCTTTTAAGGGCCCATACTAAGGGACCATGAAATTTCCCCTTAGAAGAGCTCTGAAACCCCAAGTCCCAAAGCCTATTGATAAAACTGCTTAAGCCCCAAACAACCCCCCCCCCCCCCCCCCCACCCCACCCTCAAAAAAAACAAAACTGGGCTATCTGTTCTTCCTGGGAGGTGCAAATCGTGCGAGACGCAAACCCTAAACCCCCCTTTAAACTTTGAACCCTGAACCCTAAACCCGAAACCCTAACCCTAAACCCTAAACCCTAAACCCGAAACCCTGACCCTAAACCCGAAACCCTAAACCCT